GTCATTGGCCGAAGGCCTCGCCACAGGTCCGAGCTCAGGAAAGTACACTTGAAGCCAAATTTGAAATAACCAGAGGGGACCACCATAGCGTCCGAAGTTGGAGGTAAGCAAGTCATAAATCCCTCTATATAAATGAGAAAGCACCAAGGGAGCAAGAGCAAGGTGTTTACCTCTTGAAAGGGCAACGGCCACATGAATGAAATCCTTTGTGACTTAAAAGGCCGGTACACATAAAAGAAACTTGTTCAGCCAGGCCAACAAGAAGGCAATATGTTCAGCATCATTCACAGGGACGCGAGGATCCATGGTGGAAGTTAAGTACTTGCCATAAGAGGATTCAGATGACTTGGTTCCAGTTTGCTTTGAAGGGAAGATAAAAGGAGAATCCTCTTCTACCAATAAGGTACTTACATCAATCCCAAAGGGTTTGAGGCCGGTTAGATAGCACACGTCTTGAATGGTTGGAGCCATCATGCCACACTTCAAGTGTAAGGAGTTGGTGGTGGTCGACCAATTAAACATGGCTGCTATCATCAAGGCTCTGTCTTGGGTGATGTTAGTTTTACTTAGCTGAATGGCATCATATATGCCACAATCCTTCCATACTTCTCCCTTCACAGCTCCAACCCGGTCGACCCAATTGATCCAAGCATCATTTGGAATATGCCATGTTCTGAAATGAAAGTGTGGCAAACTGCCATTTTCATTAGGAGGGAAGGTTTGAAGGAATGGAAGAACGTCGGCCGAAGGATAGAAAGGTGAGATTGATGAAGGAGCTTCGTCAAGGAAAGCAGGACCTAAGCCTTTGAAGTCAGTACGAAGATCGATAAGGGTATTGAGACAGTATTTGTAAGGAGATAGAGTATTTAGGGATTTTTCTATGATGTTGCCATGAGTTGAAGGATCGGAAGGTTGAGGGATAGAGGTGGAATCAGTTGATTTAGTTTTCTTAGGAGCCATAGAAGACGTCAGGAACGATTTTGCCGAGAAAGAATTTCAGAGATAGAAAGTTTAAGGGAAGAAGAATGATTTTAGGGATTAGAGGGCATCAAGCTAAATACTTGCTGGATGTAATAGCAGATTAGTGTGGTCACCGCTTTAATTGGGAAAGATAACCATTAAAGCAGGTGCTTGGAAAAAGAATTTATTACCAAAATTTGAATTACAATTTTAGGCCGATTCAAATTCCAAACGCTTCGTATCATAAGTGATAAAAGCATTTGAAATTCAGGGGGCATTTGTTGGCACCAAAACTTGGCAGCCACCTCAGTGGTGACGTGGACCAGCGATAGGCCGACACTTGTTTAGTATGGTTTCAAGAAAAGCCGACCAATTGAGAAACAAGAGGAGAAAATCTAGGAATTTAGCCACCTTATCCAATAAGGTTGTTGCTGAAATTTGGTAATTAATATTTGAGTTAATTCAAATATATTATTTCAGTTTGGATAGAAGAGATTTAGTTGGAATGAGATTCCTATGAAATAGGAATTTCGTTGCAAAGGAATAAGGAATTCAAAGGAGAGGCCGTCACGTGAGGGATAATTTGGGCAAAAGTTATGAATGGTCTTCCAGCCATTTAAGGGAAGGTTTCAGCCTAACTTAAGGAAAGGAGTTGCTAAAAGTTAGCAACTTTCCAGCAACTTTTCAGCATATTTCTCGACAACTTGCATTTGACTGGATCAAGGAGAGATTTCAGCAAGGACTTTCCTATTGAAGCAAGAAGAGAAGAGACGCAAAAGACTACTGGAACGTGGTTTAGTTTGAGTAATAAAGTGAAGAAAATCAAGGAGCAAAGAGATTTTCTAGCAATTAATCAGGAAAATAAGTTGAGATAGAACTTCTATAAATAGAAGTATTGTATTCCATTTCCAATTCGTCCAGCACCACCACAAAACATGCATTTCAACTAAAAATGTTTTCAATTGACTCTACATCATTTTCCTATCAATTTCTTTATTTCAATTTAATGGCAATTGATTAGATCCTCATCAACTATTTCGATTCAGCCATTTACTTTCTTTCAATTTCAATTATGCCAATTTTAATTACGCAATTTTAGTTAGGCTTTCAATTCAATGGCAATTGATTAAATTTGATTAAATTCTTGTCATTACTTGGCTGATGGCAATTGATTAAATTCTTGCTATCACGTTTCAGTGGTGATCGATTAAATTCTTGCCATTGTGTTTGGCTGATGGCGATTGATTAAGTTCTCGCCATCACATTCGGCCGGCGATCGATTAAGTTCTTGCCTCCTGTCTTCACTCGGCCATTCCATCCATTCAAACATTCATTAGCCGTTGCATTTCTTTAGACACTCTAAAAAGTCCTTGCTACAAACAAGGCATAAAAAAACCTTGTTGGAAGTTCTTACTAGTCTCTCTCCCACACAATCGCCTGATAGTCAGCCATCGGAAAAAGGGATAGGCTGGTGTTCAATTACATATTTTGGGTATTTTGTACAAATACTCTGGCACGCCCGCGAAGAGTCCATCGACTGGCGTAGGGAACAAAAACTGCGCGAACACTTATTTTCCTGAATTGTCCCCTAAAATTCATCTCTCAACAAGTGACTCCCTAATTTCTTTTGGGTATACCCGAGTTAAATCCAAGGAACAATCATTCCTTGATTGTTTTCAATTCTTTTATCATCAATGTACCTTTTAAACCCGCTCTCAATTCCTTCCCTTTTCAAATTGTTCTTTAGTCCCCTCTTGGTTGCTTCCTCTAACCGCTGATTCCTCGGCAGAACAAATTGAACTACACAAGACTGCTTGGGGCCATTTCTTGACTGCCAGAGATATTTCTTGCAATACCATTGCTCCCCACCATGTAAAGAGTCGGACTGGGGTAGAGTTCTATAACCCTGCACAGTTAGCCAGGCAGTTTGGATTGACTCAGTTAATTCCAGTACCCCCTCATTCTTCTTATAACAATAATTTTCATAAAAGAGTGAAGTTGACTGATAGCGACCAAGTCCGTGATGTGACAAATAAGTTTCAAACACTCTTACCCAATTTTCAATACAAAGAATTCATAGAAGAACCGGCCACTAACCCAAACTTTGAAGAATGGTGGTCTTCCTATATCTGTTTTACCAGGTCAAAAGAAGTTATGCAGCTTGTCAATACTCTCCTTGGATCCTACAAGTTCATATCTCTCTCTTTTCAAGGACGAGAAAACATCACACCTGTTGTTCTTACCACAACTCCTACACAAGAGAATAAGCCCATTAAATCCACCAGTCATATTCCACCCACAACTCTAATAGGTAGGACTAGATCACGCTCTCGGCAGAGTAAGTTGTGATCTTTATTTGTATCTAATCAACAACTATACTACAATATGGATTTGTTATTTTGCTTTTCTTTTATATATATATATATATATATATATATATATATATATATATATAAAATAAAAATAATAAAATAAAAAAAAAAAACTGCAGGTGCTCCACCTTCTGCACCAGAAGGAACAAATCCACCCTTGTCAGCATTAACTCCACCTGATCTCTACACTCCTCTTCAAAGCATACCTCTTGTAGCTGTTACTCAGGTAGTACTTATAATCAAACTTTAACCATTCTTCTATGCATACCATTTTCTGCTAACTCTTTTATTCTAGAAGAAAATGAGAAAGAAAACTGTGGGAAAGAAGCCTGCTAGAAAATCAAGGGCCAAAAGACACTTCGTCTTGATTGATGATGATGAAGACGAAGATGAAGATGAGGTTGTGTCCAAGAAATAGAAACCGACCACTGAAACTCCCATAGTAAAATTCCTTGATGCCTGATTACATTTCTGGTCAATCATTATGACTAACTCAACATAAATTTCAAGAAACTCCACCTTCTTCAGAGCAAAAATCAAGTAGAAATTTTACTATGGACACCATTAGAAAGGAAAAGATTGAGTTTTCAGTGGATCAAGAACAAAAACCTTCAGGAAAGATCTCTCCAGCTTCCTCTCAACATTTAACTTCAGCCCCAATGAAAGAACAGATTAGAGACTCCGAGGAAGTAAGTGTCTAAAATGAACATAATATTTACTTATTTATAACGATTGAAACTGATTCAATATATTCCAGGTGCAGAAAAACCCTTCTTCTCTTATTGTGCCTGCAAGATCCAACCTAAGTTCACCATTCACCACTTTGGATTCTCTATTTGACTTTGTGTTTGATTCCCTAGATCCTGAATCCCCTGCAATTCCAACTAGACCAGCTCTCGATACTTCTTTAGAGGTAACACAAGCTGTGCAAGTGCTATTCAACATGGTGCAACAAGACCTGTCTTTTACCCCCCTCGTTCAAAAATGAGTTGACCGAAACACTCTCTTTCCTGAGTAGCTACCCTGGATTTTCCTTAAGTGATTCGGTCTTTTTCAAAAACTTTCAACTCCAAACTCCTACTATCATCACTGCATTCATTGAGTCAAACCAGGTTCTCCACCACTACTCCACTCAAACCCAAGAAAAAGAAAAGTTGGCTAGAACTTTGAAAATGGGCAAAGAACTCCACTCATCTTTGAAGAAAGAAGCTGCCGAGTTAGAAACCCGAGAGAAGAGACTTCTAGCCAAGCTTGCTCAGTTACAACTAGAAAAAACCCAGCTTAATAATAAAGTGATGAAATTAAAAATCCAAGCTGAAACTGCTACTCCCAAATTCAAGCGCTGCAGACCCAATTGCCTCAGTTGGAGCGATCTAAAAAACAAGCGGAGGCCAAGCTCTAACAAACCACCACCTCCTGGGCAGATTTCAAGGCCAAATTTGAAGATTTTTACACAAACTTTACCCAACTTTGAACAATTATCTCTCTCTATTTACAATGGTCTGTAATATGGTTTTGAACAATCTTACTTTTCATGGGGCATGATTTGATGTTTTGAACAGTATTTGCTATAATGACCTCTGGAACTTTATTTTGCTATATCTTTATTCTGATTTATAGCTTCAAAACAACTTACATAAAAACGAAACAATACAATCCAATCTATTTTTACTTAGTGGAGGTTTTCTTTTCCTCCATAAGTTCAAAAATAGTTGGATTATATTTCTTCAGGTACCTTCCATTTATTGGTCTCTCATAGATTTCACCATCTAGATCTTTTAACCTGTAAGCGCCTCCATGCAATACTTGATGAACCAAATATGGACCCTTCCAAGTAAGTAACCACTTGCCATAAACTCTATCCACCTTCCCAAGTGAAAGAATTGTTTGCCAAACCATATCACTCTCTGCAAATAACTTGAACTTCACTCTTTTGTTGTAAGCCCTCATTACTTTTGCTTTATGAACCATAAGGTGGTCTAAAGCAAGTTTTTGGACTTCATCTAAATCTTTTAACTCGGCAAGCATAGCTTCGTTGTAATCGGCAGGTATAAGATTGTGTTGTAAAGCTACTCTTACCGATTTTACATTTAACTCCATTGGTAACACAGCATCGTGGTCAAATGTAAACCTATAAGGAGTTGTCCCTGTACTTATTCGCTTCGAATTTCTGTAAGCCCACAAAGCTTCTGAAAGGGTTTCATGGCAACGCCTTGGCTTATCTTTTATTATTTTCTCAATAATTTCAATAACAACTTTATTTGAAGCCTCTACTTGGCCATTCCCTTGAGCATAATAGGGTGTTAAATTCACCATTTTCACTTGCATATCATGGCCGAGTTGTAATACTTCATTTGCTCGAAACACAGATCTATTATCGGCAACAATTGTTTCTACTAAACCAAATCGGTGAAAGATATGTTGCTCCAAAAACTGTATCACCGTGTTATGAGTTACTGAGACATATTCCTCGGCTTCTACCCATTTAGTGAAATAAACGGTGGCTAAAATTACCCAATGATGACCCTTTGAAGATGGAGGATTAATCTTGCCGATTAAGTCCATGGCCCAACCTCTAAAAGGCCACGGTTTAACCAACAATTGCATCTCTATTGCTGGAACCCACTGCACTGGAACGTGCTTTTGACAATCTGTACAACCCTTGGCATAGGTCATACAATCTTTTCTCATTCCAGGCCAATAATATCCATATCGGCATATCAACCATCTCATTTTGATGCCAGCTTGATGAGTTCCACATATTCCTTCATGCACTTCTGCCATAATCTTTAAACCTTCAAACTTGCTAATACACTGAAATAATAATCCATCATCAACCAATCTCCTATAAAGATCTCCATCCATAAGAACATAATTGACTGCACTTCTTTTTATTTTTCTATCGACTTCCGGAGTTGGATGTTGCAAGAACAGGATGTAAGGGATTCGCCAATCATCATCATCCAACTCGGCAACATCAGTGGCAAAAAATTCTTCCATAATTTGATTTCTTGCTTTAGCTGATGGAAGAGATCGGCGTGTAATCTTCATTATCCTCTCCTTCATTCCACTCGGCACCCTGACTCCTGAAGTAGTCTGTACTAAATCATTAGCTATTTTATTCATGGCCCTTGGTCTGTATTCCAAAGTCACATTGTGAAATTGGTTGACCAATTAGGTTGCCAATGAATGAAATAGTCTTAATTGCCAATTCAAACATCTAAAGTCTTCTGAGATTTGATTAATCACCAAACTTGAATCTCTTACAATGTGGACGTCTTTAACTGCCATTTCTAGTAGGATTTCCAAGCCGATAATTAATGCTTTATATTCGGCTTGATTATTTGAACACCTTAAATCCAAAAAGAAGGAAACAAAATTTGATTCCCTGTTGGGGATATTATAACTATACCAGTTCCCGAGCCTTCATTGGTACTTGACCCATCGAACATTAAAGTCCATGGAGTCATGAATATGGATGTCGAGTCAAGCTCATCATATACTTGTGACTCAATTTCAGGCGAGGTATGATCGGCAAGAAAATCTACCAATGCTCTTCCCTTCATTGCCTTTTGTGGAACATATACAAAGTTGAACTCCATTAGTACCAAAGCCCACTTGCCAATCCGGCCTGTGATTAATGGCCTTGATAGCATAAATTTTATAAGATCGGTTTAGCAAACAATATAATCCAAAATAGGCAACATATAGACTCTTAATTTCATTACTGCAAAATATAAAGTCAAACATAATTTCTTAATCGGTGTATATCTACACTCGACTGGAGTTAAAACTCGACTGAGATAATATATTGCTTGTTTACTTCCTGCTTCATTCTCTTGTGCTAACATAGCTCCAATGGATTCTTCATCGGCCATTTCTTCCTTGGTGGCATCATGACAGGAGGACTCGACAGGTATTTCTTAATCTGGTCAAATGCCCTTTGATGTGTATCATCCCATTTGAATTCTTCCATCGGCTTCAACTTGAGTAGCGGGGAAAACACATGTAATTTTCCAGCTATATTAGCAATAAATCTCCTAAGATAATTCACTTGCCCAAGTAACCTCTGCAATTGTTTCTTGCTTCTCAGCGCACTAGCATCAATAATTGCCTTAGCTTTATTTCTATCGATCTCTATACCCCTTTGATGAACCAAGAAACCCAAAAAGTTTCCTACCGATACTCCAAAAGCACACTTTATTGGATTCATTTTTAGCTTATGAGCCATCATCCTCTCAAAAGATGCTTTGAGGTGGACTAAGTGCTCTTTCTTCGTTACTAATTTTACCACCACATCATCAATATATACCTCCATAAACTTACTGAGCATATCATGGAAAATAGAATTCATAGCCTGCTGATATGTGGCACCAGCATTCTTCAACCCAAAAGGCATTACCACCCATTCAAAAGTTCCAATCGATCCGGGACACCTAAAAGCTGTTTTTGGAATATCCTCCTCGGCTATATAAATCTGAATATAGCCTGAGTGTCCATCCATAAAAGACATAATTTGGTGCTTTGCAGCCGCATCAATCAGCTGATCGGCTATCGGCATTGGATACTCATCTTTTGGAGTTGCTAAGTTAATGTTTCGAAAATCAACACATATACGTAATTTTCCATTCTTCTTGATAACAGGGACTACATTTGATAACCATTCAACACACCTTGAATGAAGCCAGCATCCAATAATCATTCGATTTCCACCTTGACTTTGTCTACCACCTCTTGAGACATTCAACGAGGTGGCTGTTTATATGGCTTGTAGCCATCTTTAATGGGCAGTCGATGTTCCACCAAATCTCTGGATAAACCCGGCATTTCCTCATAATTCTAAGCAAAACAGTCACTGTATTGTTTCAACATGTCGATAACCTCAGCTTGTAATTTTGGTTCTAACAGTGCACTGATATAAGTTGGTCTAGGCTCTGTGTCAGTGCCTAAATTCACCTCCTTTAATGGATCCTGAGTTTCTGCTTTAAGATCATCGAGCTTAGCTGGTGCTAATTCCAAGTCTTCCAACTGAATTGCATCCAACTTTTCATTACTGAACCGATCGATCTTAGTAAGATTAACCGATGGTCCTGGCTCTATTATTGTTTCTTTTTCTAGCCATTTTTCGGCTATGTATGCTTGTAGCCTAATGCAAGCAACCCTAAAGGCCTGCTGTCGAGCAGCTTCCCTTTCAAGTTTCGCTTCCATCAACAACTTCTTCAATTATAGCAAGCCGAGGGAGTTCTACCTTTGGCCTGGAATTCTCCTACTATAATTCGCCGATTTCACGATCGGCAAGACTTCTTCTCATGGATGCTGAGGTTGGTCTTCCATCGGCTCCTGTTCCCACAAACCGAATAGGAATACATTCTTCGTCATACAAAACAGCATCTGCCGAATACACTTTTGCCACAAATGGCTTATCATCGGCATTTACTATTTTCACCTTATCTCTATCCAAAAAATCAGCATCTGGTGTAATGATGATGGGATGCACATATTTGGATGAATCCAATCTCGGCCTAATAACAAATTATAGGAATCCGTGGATTCAATAATAAAGAATGCCGCAAAAGATGTCCTACCTCCAACTTCTACTTCTAAGGGAAGGATACTTTAGTGCTAGTAGAGCCTTCATTGAAACTACAAATTGCTACATCAGTAGGAATAACATCTTCCATACTCTTGCCAAGTTTCTTCAATGTGTTTGTTGGAATAACATTCAGAACCGAACCATTATCTACCAAGACTCGATTAATAGGTTGACCTTCTACCCATACCTTAACATACAAAGACCTGAGTTGTCGAGTCATTGCTAACAAAGGTTTTTCAAAAACCACTTTCTCTGTCGATTCTGAAGAAAGAATTGATAAATTTTGAATCGGCTGAGTTTCCTTCTCATTCTTCTCAGTATTTGCATTTGATGCCGATGGAGCCTGGAACATTGCTGTTAATACAAATGCCATGTTACATGACATCTCATCTGGAAAATTGCTAAACTGAATACTGAACTCATTGTTGCGTCTGGGCCACGTCGGCTGATGCTCCTCATCCGGTTCATCTTTATCTGGAATGCCGATTTCCTCGGCTTGCATTACTTTGCTTCCTTCCTCAGCTTTCCTTTTTTTCTCAGCCCTTCTCTTTTGTTCCCTACGCTTCTGAGATCAAGTTAGGCCCCTATTCTAATATTGTTGAGCTTTAGGGAACTTTGGATGATTAACTCGAGTCCATCTATCTTCAATTGAGTCTGTCCTTGGTTTCATAGTTCGTACTCTATATGAATCAGCTCATTTCTGTACCCAAATTTCTGACTAAACCGGCGATGCCTCTTAAAACTGGGATGCCGATTTTGGGGATGAAATCAGCTAGATATATTAACTTACCGAGTTGGCCTTCCTGCTTTCAAATGGCTATTACTGGGACAACCTTGCTGAGGCTCCTCCCCAGGCTTTAATAGGAAAATAAGCCTCTCAAGAATTCCTTTCTTCTTTGGTTGAACCTCAATTGGCACATCTTCCTTTGGTTTTTGCTTTCCTTTGCAATTTGGGCAACAGCCATGGTCAATCAAGGCTAATTGAGCCTCCCTTAATTGTTTCTGCAACTTTGCCACTTTTTCAGGTGTCGCATTTGATGATAAGAAGTCACCCGATATCTTTTCAGCCTCCTGCAGATTCTCTCGCTTGGCTAAGCTTATCACATTTGTAGATGTGATTATAGGAAATGGATTAGTATCCATCTTCAGGGTCTCTGAAGTTTTCTCTGGGAATTTTAAACTACCTTCATCAATAGCTTTCTGCAACATACCTCGTAGAACAGTACAATCATTAATAGCATGGTTCCAAGAGTTATGATACTTACAATACTCTTTTCCTTTCAAGTCACTTGCTGATGGAATCCTATGCCCTTTAGGCAAAGATATCATTTTATCAGCCATCAAGTGATCAAAGATTTGATCTGTTTTCGACAAGTCAAAAAAATAACTTTTTTCAGTATCGGCAGGACCTTTCTTTGCTACCGATGTTGATGTTGATGACAAATTGCCCCCCGTGGTCAGTTTAGGTTTAACCAACGCCTCACAAACGTATGGCTTTTTGATATTGACTTCTGCAATGTCAACTTCTAATTCATCTCCAACTTCTGCCGAGAATACCTCATCGTTAGGGTCCTTGTACCAAGTATCCTTTGAAGAATTCTTCCTCTCTTTCTCTTCTTTTAGTATTTCCTCATACCGAGAAGCCTTGTCAGCTAAATCAAAGAGATTTTGAAATTCAACCCCATCAAACCTCTTGCGATGTTCAATGTCTAGACCATTCAATCCCAACTTGATGCATTCTGGTTCTAGCAAACTTACTCGGCATTTGAGTTTAGCCTTTCTGAACCTGGCAACAAAAGTTTCAACCGATTCACTCGGCAACTGAGATAATCGAGATATGTTTGCCAGCGTGGCTTCTGTCTCTGTTTGGTAAAATTGGGTATGGAATGCCTCCTCTATCTCATCCCAAGTCTGAATAGAATTGGCCGGTAAGTTACTGTACCATTCAAATGCCGCCGCGACAAGAGAGCTAGAGAATAACCTCATCCTTAACCAGGGGCTAGGACCTACTTCTCCACATTGTGTGGTGAACCTTGTAATATGCTGCACCGTAGAGAAATTTTTTTCGCCACTGTACATAGAAAAATCAGAATACCGATAATTTCTAGGTAACTCATGGGCATCGACATGATCAGGATAAGGTTTTCTGTATACTGGCCGAGCACGTCTGCGACTTTGTGCTACTTTGGCCTGTATTAAAGCCAAAATCTGAGCCCTATCAATCCCTGCATTTCTTCCTGGAGGATCATTTGGGTGCCAAGGAATGAATGGATTAACCCACTCCCTTAATGATCGGCATTTACTTGCCCCCCAGCAACCGCTGGAGGTATCAATGGATTAGCCCTACCTTGGTTTAGGTTGCCTACCACTTCTTGTTAATCCCTTGCTGGTGGAATCGGCTGCACATGTGGACGCTATACATTCTGATTATGCTAATCATTCATTGGTGGCTGGTACACCGGCACAGTATTTACTGCTGGCGGATCTAATAAAATTGGTGGATTCCCCATTGGCATGCTGGGTGTATGATTTGGCACATTGCTGATAGTAATACCAAGTCCTGCACTTGGCGGTACGATGCTTGTTCGAGGCCCTTGGGAAATATGTATCAATGGTGCCGTCATACGTTGAAATATGGACTCATTAATATGAGATGCTTCGGCTTGATCATATCGATTTTGATTAGCCGATATACTGGTTTCAAGCCTTTGATTCATCTTCTCCATTTGAGCGTACATCATCTAATTTAATTCTCCAGTCATTGACCTCATCTCATGTATCTGAGAAACCAAAATTTGATTTGATTCCCCCACCTCAGACCTTACTTCACCAATCTGTGCTTGCTGGGCATCAATTTTCTGCATAATCGATTCCAGTACCCGACCCAAAGGAAGATCGGATGGAATAGATGAGTCGACATCATCACCAATGCTAAGTTGCTGGTTTTCCTCGTCCGCATTGTCACCTGTAGTCACACCTTTCAAATTTCTTAACTTTGGAGGCATATTT